CCTTGAAGGTTGATTAAGCCTGAACACAGCCAGGACAGCAGCACACTCCGTCTGCTTGCATTAGATTCTATACCAATTCTTCTGTCACCAAACCCGTTTCAATCATCTGTTGTAAATGAAGTGTGCTGGAGGAGGAAAATAAGCATTTACCGGTACTGCTTCTCAAGTACCGTAATAGTTGGTGACACTCTTCTCACTTCTACCCCACACATAAGTGATATGTCTGAGAGGCTCTAGTGCAATCTGAAATTAGGGTAGTTATGCACAGTAGAAGTTTGAGCTGTTTCCTAAATTAACGTGCAAAAAGACAATGTTAGATTTCCAGTCTTGCTTCATTTCTTTTCTGTATGGAGTGGGAAATACTGGTGGATGACCCCAGCCAATAAACTAACTGCACTTCAATGGACACTAGTAATGAATCCGTCCAGTCAGAATCACCACGACTGCCTCATTCCCATTGATCCAAATGTTTTTAAGTCGGATGGGGATTTACTGTTTAAACCTTTTAATGATCTGTTTGTTTCTCTCCTGCAGTCTTTCTGTATTTGCACCAAATGTTGATGTAATGTGACATGATGCCTCCAACCTTCTGACAGCCTCCAACTCCTCCTCGTTAGTCAGCAAACAAATCAGCTTTTTAATTGGCAATGCTTTTCTTGACATTGTCACAAGCAATCGGCAATTACATTAGCGCCATGTTTAATGTTTCATCACAGTGTCACACGCCTGCAGGTAGAAATTCTTTTTTTTTTTTTTTTAAGTCTTCTGCTCTTAGAAGAAAAGCATCCGTTTTACATCAGAATAGCACTCCTGTAATTTGTGCAAACTTTAAGAATAACTCAAGTAGGAGAAGGTTAATGATGCTAGTCTTCAACACCGCATATTACTGGTAAGAGTGAAATTCATAGTGGGGACTGTTACATAAAGCAATCTCCTTTTAGTCCACTGTTCAGACAATGGAACATAAGAACCATGTGCTTGTGTTTTAAGAAGAGTACTGCATACGGCCCATCAACAATTAGACAGCAATCTATAGCAATAGCCCAAATAACAAAAGGCCTTGTATAACATTTGACCTTGAAGCTGGGGTGATGAAAAGTGTACACCACTCTGTTTAGTGATGATGCACACGTGTATGAAGTTTTGTTAAATTATCTGGAGTGGCTCAGAAGTTCTGGCCTGGAGAAGAGAAAGTTTATGAACATACGGACAGATGGACACTATACCATAATATGTCTTGTTTTCAAGAAGCATATAAAAACTGAAAGTATTAAATGCAACAGTCTAGTATTTTTACAGGCCAGTATCAATAGGTTATGATTATGGTTCTCAAAAGGAGCCAAAGAAAAGAGCATAATGTGGCCTCAGGTACTGCAGTGTCTGATTTTATTTTTAAGACATTGTTGCAGGGAACGTTAAAGCAGTGAGGTTCTGGGGCTTTTGTGTTTGGTTACAGCTCAGGAGGAAGACAACTCGAAGGTCAATGGGTTGTTCCCTGCCCGTTTGGAAATTGTGTGTTGTGGGAAATAAAGAGAAGGCAGCGCTCTCCAGTATTGCTTTGGACTTTCATCACAAGCTGCTGGTGTTGTGCAAGTCTTCCTTGTAGACTACATTCCATTTACCTGGTCGTTTAAAATACCACAACACATCACAATCACCGCTTTAACCCATTAATCAAACATTCATAAAATCATAGGCAGATCAAAAGCGATTGGACTTATCAAGAGCTAATAAATTAAAAAAAATCAGTTGGAAACGATAAGATATCAAAATATAAATCAACAAAATAAATGAAATAAAAATTGAAAAACTCTTCTGTAACATAATTTAAATTTTTCTCTAAGCCATTTAGTTGTATATTTCAAAAGAGGTGGTTTGAGTGTTTGTTGTCTTGTCTTATGATTTGTTTTGTACAAAGGTACTAAACCTGATCAGAACTCAGGTGTAGTGACTTGTTTTGACCAACAGGAAAAAGTAGCTCTTTAAACGGTCTGTATTTTACTCAAAAAGGATTGGATGTACAATGAAAGTTTGCTTAATAAAACAGCAGAACAGTGAACAGGTGGAAGAGAACTTGGAGAGGTGGATGTATGAACTTGAAAAAAAGAGGAATGAAAGTCAGTCGTAGTAAGAGAGTACATGTGTGTGAATGAGAGGGAGGCCGGTGGAACAGTGAGGCTACAAGGAGCAGAGGTCACAAAGGTGCAGGACTTCAAGTACTTGGGGTCCACTGTCCAGGAAAATGGGGAGTGTGGTAAAGAGGTGGAGGGGAAAAAAAAATCCAGGCAGGATGGAGTGGATGGAAAAAAGTTTCAGGAGTGATTTGTGACAAAAGGGTGTCAGCAAAGGTCAAAGGAAAAATTTACAAGACAGTGGTGAGACCAGCTGTGTTGTATGGTCTGGAGACAGAGACATGGACAAAAAGACAGGAGAAAGAACTGGAAGGAATGAGATGATCAGAGGTACAGCACAGGTTGAACAACTGGGAGACAAAGTTAGAGAGGCCAGACTGAGATGGTTTGGACATGTCCAGAGGAGGGACAGTGGGTATATTGGTAGAAGGATGTTAGAAATGCAGCTGCCAGGAAAAAGACATTTGAGGGACTCTGCTCGCACCACCAAAATGTCATAGAAAAATAACCCCAGATTTTTTAACAGCACATAGAAAATGAATTAAAGGCCGAGCATTCGTTGAAGAAATGGATATCACTCACTGTCTTTCATGCAAGTTTTAGACCAAGATGATTTTATGACGAGGCATAGAGTTAAAACCATTTTGATCAATTTTTGAAAATAAAACAAGACAAAATGGTGTTTGGACTATGTGTTGTGAATGACTTGGCTGCTAACACAACAAACTTTTGCTCAGTGTCTGTAATATTGACGGAAGTTATTTATGTTTTGGGTAATGCTGCTTAGCTGTCACCGCCATCTTTAATTAGACTGGATTAAAAAAAAAAAACTCCATAATGTTTGGAACCAATCAAGGGATTATAAGACGGTTTCCAACACAGCCAACAAACACATCAGTGTCTCTGGCTAAGGAGTGACCAAACTATCTGTTCTTCATTAAGTTTGGGGCATGAACGGGTTAGACTGGGTGACATGGGCTTGATTTGATACAACTGAGATGTGCAATAATATATGTAGGCAGCGCAACACCTTGGAGGTCAAAGTCAAAAATAAAAGCATACAAGGGAGGCGATGACAAACACGAGTCAAATATCTCCAAATTGGGTTCACACCAAAGTAAAAAGACAGGAAAAGGGAGGTTTTAAGGTGGGTGCAATGGATACCAGCACACTGCATGGGGCAAAAGCAGCGCACAGCAGAAACAAGACGTTATCGCAACACTGGGAAGGTGCAGCCTTGCTGGTGTTCTGCCTTAATGGAGGGAATCCGTTGCACATCTGAGCCAAACTTGAAGAGAAACAGGGACTTGTGCATCACATCAATGTTAACAAACTATACAATCCAGAAAAAATTTAATTATTAATAATTTACTTTCCAGTGTTTCATCAACAAAGTTCTTAGGTGTCTATATTGATGAGAAGCTTTAAGAATCATTGTGAATCAGTGTGTAAGAAGATTTCAAAATATTTAGGTATTATTAAAAAAAGGTTAAACTATAGTTAAACACAAGTACTTTAATAACCTTGTACAACAGTTTAATTTAACCCCATGTTTCTTACTGTAATTTAATTTGGGATAGTACCCATCCTTCTTACTTGCAATCAAACTAATCAAACCTCGTCTAAGAACTGTCACTAACTCCATATTTAGCTTCGTCCACACCTCCGCGTTTCAAAAATGTGAAATTCTTACAATTTATGATGCGAATAAGTATCGAACAGGGATCCTGATGTATAGTTATATGCATTCCATTATCTTTACCTAAATATTTTCACAATATCTTTTGAGTTTAATTTTTATTATCATTCATACTCTACAAGGATGTATGATTTAATTTCCCCTTCTGCAGAACCACTGCTCAGTTTTCATTCATGCATCAAGGTGTTGTGCTGTGGAACAGTTTGAAACAACCAAGTGAATCATGTACATTATCTGTATTAAAAGAAAGTTGAAACAAAGTTTATAGTTTTTTTTAAATATTATTATTTTAATATTTTTGGACAATTTAAATTTATTATAAACTATTATCTATTGCTTTGGTGTGTATTTGTGTGTGTTTAACGTACAACGTAAGCTTATGTATAAAGCTTTTATGATTTATTCTTTATTAATTTTTTTAGAAAGGGGGCGGGGTGCGCGCTTGTTAAGCCCATTTTGGTTTTTTATGACCTCTCCTGCACATTTTACTTTTTTATATTTTCCTTTATGTGTGTGGTTTCTTTTTTTGTGCAGACAATAAAATAAGAAAAAATAAGAAACACTGCCCTTCAGCAGTCATTCCTTAAACAGATGTCATAAGCTGTCCACCTTAAACAAATCCTCCAAATATCAAACACAAACCACAAAACCTGATTACAAATGTCTTTATTTTTACAGTTATCACAAGAAAAGAACTACAAAACATCCGCTTTACTAGAAAATAGTACGTTTTTCATTAGCTCTGCTTTGTGTGAGGGCTTGCAAGAAAAGTCTGAGTAAGCACCAAAAGAAAGAGGAAAAATAAAAAAGAAGTGGGAGCGTAAATGTTCTTATCAGGGCTGTGCAGGTCCAGCCCAGGCTTTTTAAAAGAGCGTCAGAGGGTGAAAAAGAGCGCTAGCAACCATGTTGGTCTTCTGCTGAAAGGCAGTCGCCCCCTTCCCCCCACAGGACCACCACACATGCACAAAAATAAAAAGTTGGCCAACTTAACACACGCAGTGATGATTACTTATATGGCTTACTGACCCACTCTCTGCTCTGCTTCCTCAAACAAACAAAAGGCGACAAAGAAAAAAAAACATTTCTGCTCCCAGAAGGAAAAAAATATATAAATCTCCACAATAAGTCATTTCACAAAGAAAGTCACTTCAGCAATATTCATTTGGGGTAAAAGAAAGATAATCTAAAGACATAAATGCTTTAACTGTGGAAATTGGAACACGTTTAAATCTTATTAGCTGTACAAGAAGTGAAGAAACAAACTCAAAACTCTAGAAAAAGGGTCAGTTTTTACTTTGCAGCCATGAAGCGTATGTTCACTATCATCCTCTTGATGTAATCTATGTGATCGACCGGCATCGCCATCAGCACTGTGGCTTTAATCCTCGATTCATCCTGTCAAATAAACAAGAATTCATTTGTATTAAAATCATTTTTCACAGTGCAACTTAAACGGTCACATTTCCTTGTTTACCACTGAAGGACAGCTGTTTACACACATTCAGGTTGTCGTATTAACCATGCGCCAAAAGATTTTCTACAAATGAAATCCATCTGACTTTATTGCTCGATAATATAAAACCTTCACGTGGAATTTATTAGCAACGGCAGAGAGAAACAAGCATCTTCCATTCTGCCGTACACTTGGATGAGGTATGTGTGGCGCGATGGCATTTAGCTTCCACAGCTGTCTAGACTCGTGGAGCTTATTTCTCTCAGAGCCATTCATCCCTGCATTTAAACAGAGGTTACACTCAATTTCTCTACATTAAATCTTTAATGCTCAAGCGGCTGAAACGTTACTCGTTTTTCTTTGGACCGATGCCTACTCTCTTGAAGCTGTGTCATTCACCTGGTTTGTTTTTAATGAAAAGAAATCGAAACGTTTTATGCAAAAAAAAAATGAATAAATAGTTTGATTAAAGCACCATTTAAGACCTCCACACCACTGCTCAGCTTGCCGTGTAGAAACTTTAAATCCCGTTTTAGCACAGAAACGTAACGGAATACAACTAAACTAAAACTGAGAAAAGTAACTTGATCTTTATAGAACATCATCAAATTATATTCATCTGCACATGGGAGTGGAGCTTTTTTTTGGCTAAACGAAACACACACAGCATAAAATGCAGTTATTTTAAATCGAACCCAATAAGGGATCAGAAAAATATTTGCAATCTCAGTTTCTGTTCACTCGTTTATTTTGTACATTATCTAAACATTTGTTTCTCTTCTGTAACAGAGCTGAACTATGATCAGGCAGTCTGATGGTTTTAACTGTAAATCTATTACATACAGCCCATACAGCGTGGGTTTGGAGAAGTAATCTGCAACACTTAGGTAAAGACTTTTATTAAGCTTTAAATTGATCCTGGTTAAAAACAGTGAAAGGAAATTAATTTATAAATGCACAAAAGGATACTTAGTCTACATAGTTTAAATTGTTACTAAGAGTTCACACGAACACTTAAATACTCCTAATTATTTACCTAAAATGTGCATTTTTTTAAATCCCTAATAGACATTCAACCTGTGTGTTTGAGGCTCATCTTGGCAAAACGTGTGAGAACAAGCGATCGAGTGTGGTGGAGTTAAAAACCATCACTGCCAGGATCAATCCATTACCACTGGTCAAAAACCAATAGCACAAAACAATGCCAACATTCAAAACAATCGCATCAAACACATTAGATTTATGACAGCAATTTGCCTAATCCTGTGGTTCCCAATCCAAGTCCTTGAGGAACACCATCCTGCACGTTTCAGTCGTTTCCTGCTCCAACACGCCTCATTCAGTGATTTAATTACTTCCTTAAGTTCTGCAGAAGCCTGTTAATAACTCACTCATTCAAATCATGTGTGTCAAAGCAGGGAAACAAGTAAAACATGTAGGATGGTGTTCCTCAAGGATCACAGTCGGGAACCACACTTTGCTTGCAAATCCAAATATTTATGCATAAAACCAAAGATGCAATTGTAGGGTATTTTATGTTTAACAGTAGCTACACCTCACATTTTTACCCAACTTTCAACTTGATTCTAAATAAGATAGTATTCGTGTTCTGATTGGAATGCAGTTCTTTCAGACTGACATTTGCTTGATCATAATTTACCTGATGGTTCACAAATTAAACGGCCTTGTGCTACATTAAGTTTGAACTCATCCACAGCCTGAACACCTACATGTTTCAAAACATCACTTGGGTTTCTCCTTTGTCCCAAATGAAACAAAACATCTAGGTCATGTAATAAAAGCAGCAACGAGGGATGAACAAAAAAAAACAAAAACTATTATACCCACATGAAAAAAACACTTTGATAATTATTTACTCTGAATAAAACCTAAACTGCAGCAAAGAAAAACATGTTGTGGTGTCTTTAGAGTAAAGTTTTGAAATGTAAATGTACCCGTGCGTCTTACTGGAGACAATAATCATATATGTTGTTATGCAGCTTATAAGAAGATTTCAACAGCACAGGAGGAGTCTGAGCACAAATGTAAACACAAACTGAGCGACGACACTAATTGTTTACTCCCTGCACACACCTGCTGTACACAAACAACTCTGACAATGGATTTTGATCACCTGACATTGCTGCAGACTGCATGTTGTTTTTAAATTCAGTAGGAGCAACTAAAGCTTCTAAATATTTAACATGATCCAGTGTTTCCCAGACCATTATACAAGGAGGGTGTCAGCAGAACCAAACGCCCTGCCTACCGAACCACCCGGGACAAGGGCGGTGGGTGGTGGGGTGGACAGTTCGGTAGGCGCTAAGCTAGCGGTGCACAAAAAGCTACAGAGGCAGCGCTCATATTCCCTCACGCTGAGCGGTTTCCTTCAATGCCGGCGTGCAACACAGACGTGTCTCCGTCTACACCCCCGCCCCCCACCGTCAAAAATCACGCAAGAGATGAGCGCCCTGCCAAGACAAGTAATCTACGGGAAACACTGATCAATGCAAAGATCAGATTTGACATAATAATCATTTTCTATTACATATCGCAGTTAACATGCAAGTTCTGTTTGACACTTTTTCTGCCATCTTGTTTTAAAGGACTAGAGACAGTGATTTTACAGTGATGTCTAATTAGGATGTTAAAATGTGTTTTGGCCTCATGCCATAAATTACCTGTTCTTTTGGTTGTTGTTTTTTCCCCACATTTTGCAAGGGAACTATTTGTTATTGTCTTTGTCTCAAATTTGAAGAAAAGTAGTTGTTGGAAAGAACTTACTAGGGATGCACAATATTATCGGCATGGTATCGGTATGGGCCGATATTAGCGATAAAATTAAATATCGGCCATTCCATTAAAATAACTCGCCGATATAAAAGGCGCCGTTTTTGCCTGCAGCGGCAGCACAACGTGATGACCTTGCAGTGCAAAGCAATGACGTCACGTGCGCCTACCTGATCTCACGGAGGCGAGGATGTCAGATTCTGAAGATTTATGGACTACGTTGAGCCTCGCTACATCGTCCCCAGTTGGAGATATTTTTCCGACGTAACGTTACTTGAGTTACACGCCGTCATTTCCGGCGTCATTGAGAAGCTAATAGCTGATAGCACGACTTGTTGGGTGAGTTTTACCACAGACATTTGGACGTCGTGTTAGCCGCGTTAGCATGATTAGTCTTACGGCCCAATAAATAGACAAAAACTTTGAACTTAAATAGTTTGTCCTTCATGCACAGGAGTGCAGAGGATCCCACACTGCAGCTAGGAACTTGTAACAAGCCTCCACAAGTGAGACAGCATTGCAGGTGACTAATGCTAATAAATAACACTTAACACTTTTCATTTAATATAAGTTAAAGTGCTATACATATCATATGGCTGTTACTGAATATATGCCACCAGCTCTTACAGCTGTTGCACATTTTTTGTAGCAAATAAACCTAAATCTGCCAAAAATCCAATATTGTGCATCCCTATAACTTCCATAGATATTAAAAAAAAGAATAGCATTTTTTTCTGTTACTTATTTGCCATTTCTACAGTGCAACTTTAAAGGGCCCTCTTTGACCCACATTAGGCATCTACAACACTAGATACATGAGTGATGGTCACAGCAGATAGCTTGCAGTTCTGAGAGATGAAATGAGCTCAGAGAGAAGCTGCAGGTGTCTCTGTTGAAGTAATATGGGGTCTGGGTGCAGGGCCAGTACATGCTTGTAAGCTGTGCCGTTGGCAGTTAGGATGCTGAGCTGACTGCGACGGACACAGTGGCCTCTTCTGTGTGTGGAGGGAGGATGCTGCCTCTGGCTTGGCTCCAGACTTCCTGCTCAGAGTCCCAACCCAATCAATTCTTTTATGTTTCCCTCAAAACAAACCTCCCGTTTGTGTGGTCTACAGGAAAGAGTGACCGTCGCTAAGCTGTGTGCTCCTCCTTCACAAAGCAACTAAAAACCAGCAGCGTTCTGGGACAAACGCCTTTTAGAAGCTCTTCTGACAATGCAAACAAAGGACCAGGTAGTTAAAAAGGAATTTGCAAATAAATGTGATTTGCTCCAGGTGTGTATTTTTGCCTTACAAAAAAAGAAAAATGTTCAGAAAATTTAAGATATCCTCATTTTTTCCCAACTTTTGCACATATTTGACTGAGTGAACATTTGCGGTCATTCAACTTTATATATCTGAATTTGAATAAAAATAATGACTCTTCCTGTTTGTGCTTACATTATATGTCTCCATCTTCACTCTGTTGTGGAAGACGAAAGTGTTGAAGTTTGCCTGCTGGAAGACTTCATCGAACGCAGCTTCATTCTGAAAAGATGAATAAAATGACATTTATCTCAATCGAATGCGTCAATTTATGCAGAATTAAAAATAAAACTGCCGTTTAATAAATAAGGAGGACAGTAAAATTCCTTGTGTATGCACTCGTTTATAGAAGCATGTACAGAAAACAGCAACACAACTGGTGGTTTATTTCTAGAAGTGCTCATTTTCTGAAGCAACTGGAAGGAGAGTCTCACCGAATCTTTGAGCTGGCCCAGGTAAGCTGCATTCTGGCCCAGAATGGCCTCTGCACTCTCCTGGAAGCAAGTCACCCACTGGTTGTCCCCATAATCTGCAATGTTGGCCTGACCAACAACACACAGGGGTTAAACAAACAAAAACAAAAAAAGTAATAATAAATAGAAATAACATGTCACATCATTGTGAAGTTGTGTTATTGTACTTTGAACTTTTGAACTATGCCTTGTTTTTTGTTTTGGATACAGCAGTTAACAGACAGCCTAAATCCTGCTGGTACGTCTGGAGATACGCACAACGTTGCCGTTAGCTTTGTGCAGACACCGACAGCGTGAAGCAGATTCACAGCTTATTCTTTAGCTTGTGAAAAACAATATGTCAACTGGGGAGAGGAACAAAATAAAAGCTGCTTATTTCAGATGCTATGGTTTCTATGGTTTTCTTACCGACTGGGTTCATGCGATTCGTTTTCTTTTTCAAAGAAAAGTCGTTTGTATACAGGCTGTGTTCATGAGTGCATGTGCTCCGAATGGCACAGTATTAAAATGTGCAGCATTTACCCCAACAAAGCCTGGAGACAATCATTACATCAAGCCTCAGACGTGGCTTTCACGCTTCTAAAAATAACTGCACTAAGCAGTTCGAGGCTAAGTTGTAAAACAAACGACAGGCCATGTGGGGGAAGAGGGGACTGGCTTGAAGGACAACATTCTGTAAAAACAGCCACAGCACGATGTCTCAGTCCCAATTTAGTTTGAAGTACAACAAACAGGCATTTAAAGCATGTGCATTTGTGCTTTTGTGTATGTGTAGAACAGATGAAGAGAATTTTAGGGAAATCACTGCTGAGCCACTTACAGACAGGATGAGGCGGTATTTGAAGTTGGGGAACTCTTTATCACACTTCTCGCAGCGGAACATGCCGTTCTGCTGGTCCACCACTTTTTTGTTGCAATCTTGACTCGGGCAGGCCTGATAAAGGCAATTCTCCTTACGGAGATACACTATGGTGGCTGTGCAGCTGTAGTAGTCGGCCTAAAATTAAAAAATAAATAAAAAGTCAACCATTATCTAAATAAACAAATGTTCAAACATCATGCACTAATACAATCACACCCCATGTCCTCATGATCCTCATGCTGTCTAGTCAACATGTTGACAAAACTGCATGAATTATACATTAAGATAACATTTTCAGAAGCATCACAAGAGTTGTGAAAGAAACACTTTAAATACTGGTTAAAGCAGTGGTTCTCAAACTGGGGTCCCTGGACCCTCGGGGGTCTGAAAGCTGGTGCTTGGGGGTCCCGCAATTTTTATAAATTTTTTTACAAGCACGTAGATGTTTAACAACCCATTAAAATACACCAAAATGCAGGAAACCACATCTACTTTATTCAAAATTTACTGGGGGAGGACCCCCAGACCCCCGCCTATTTGCATTTCTGCACAATCATTTAACAAATTAAGCCCTTTTACTTGGTCTGAGTACTGCTGTTAGGATTCTGTTCAGTTTTATGTAAAGAGTTTTATGTAATCATTTGAAGAAGTGGGAAAACATTTATTATGTTCATTGTGTGAACAGGTTAAGTTTTAAAGTGGGCTTTGATACTGTTATTTTTTTTTTACTGTAATTTTTGAAGTTGAAATCTTTTTTTTATTAAGTGTGTCTTGAATGAAAAATACCCCATGTTTAAAAGTATAAAAATTAAAAATTCTATTAACACTATTAAAGAACATGTTCGGGCTGCTGCTGTTACGCCGTATTGTTTTACATTATTAGTGTTTAACGTATATCTTAGACCATTTAACGTACCGTTTGTCGTTTGTTTCGTATATATCTTAGTAGACCTGTCGCGATAAACAATAAATCCAATTAATCGCATGATAAATGAAAATTATCGACCTCATTTATCAGCGTTATCGTTTCTTTGTCTATCTCTTTCTACTTTAGACACTGGATGACAAAAGGCTCAACTCTGGTGTTCTTCACTGACCTCTCCCTTTCTTTTGAAAATCCATTTTAACCGTCCAAAATCGTGTTTTTGGATTGTTAAAAGCAGCTAAGCTGAGAAGCTAAGCTAACAGGCCGACCTCGGGGAAAACACCTCCGTCTTGTCAAAGCTCTGAAATTCACGGTTGAAACTCGTGCCTTCATGTAAAAATGTTTTCTCAGCCCAAAGAAGCTGAGAACTTGTTTACTGATTTTTTTTTTTTTTTAAGCTTTGTGTGAAAAATGCTATGCTAAAGAGCTCAAACTACACCGAGCGTCCGCCATTTTGAAAACTGAAGAGAGACAGCCCATGTCATGTGAAGCCCCCCCCCCCCCATTTTTCTTTCAAGAAAAAAATGCTGCTTGCTCCCTCACTATCCATCCTTCGGTTCAAACAGTCTTACACTGCCATCCGGTGGTTTGAAAAAGTTACTTCATGCAAAACAAATTAAACATTTCTTCTTAAATTTGACAATTACTGATTGTCAAATTTCAATCAATATTATCGTTTATCGCAATAATTTCTGAGACAATTAATCGCTCAGAAAAATTTGTTATCGTGACAGGCCTATATCTTAGTGTAAATCTTAGACCCTTGAATATTGTTTCTTTTTATACTTTATATTTTTGCTATTTTTGGGTGTAACTGGGGCCTTGAGTACATAGTTTCGTTCCACCTCATGGACCACGTGTGATGGGAATGACAATAAAATTGAACTTGAAAGAACAGGTCTTAAATATTTATGTTAAACAAATATTTCCATTGCATTAAAGAGACAAATTGAAGAAAATTATTTAATAAACATGAGGGTTATGAGGGGTCCCCGAACCAAAAAAAGTTGAGAACCCTTGGGTTAAAGCACCAAAAAATATCTGCTGACCAAGATGAAAACTAGCAAAGGAGCTTCTGAATTTGTAAAGAGGAGATGAGAACTAAAACATTTGGCTGTGCTACAACGCCAAGATAAAATGTCTCCACGTGAGCAAATGGGTCACGCACCCTGCATGTAGTGCAGCTGCAGCCCGACATCTGGCTGATGAAGTGTCCCACCTATTGCAAATCCTTGGAGAAACTCCCCAACAGAGAAAATGTGGGCCACTGCTTGCTTTGATGAAAGATAACAATCCTCGCTCAAACTCACTTTACGGTTTCATGTCATAAAATGTTCATAGTAAAAATAAATTACAGCTGAATTAGTTTTCAGAGCAGAACCACACATTCTCTTTGCCTTTTTGATTTTTAAAAAAGCGACAGGGATGATCAGTAGCAGAATTCCCCCCAAAATTGTAGTATTTCTCCTGAACTCCACTGCTGCTGCTTTTTGATTCACAATAAAAAGAGATGCCAACCTTCATTATCTTCCATGAGGTCTAACTAATAAACGTCTCCAATTAGAGTGAAATTGACCCGTGCTGAGAGGGAAAGCAAAAAAACAAACCTGGCTTCTTTCATGCCTTTGTGACAAGCGGTGTCAGCCTACAAGAAGAAGGTGCCCACTTATCCTCACAAAGGGCACTGCATGAGTGTGGAGGCACAAAGACCGTGACACAAACAATTAATGGCAAGATACTTTAGTTGGTGGGGGTTTATAAAGCTTGACCTGCCCGCCCCCGTTGATGATTTGTGAAAACGTTTGAAGCCGGCCTCTTTTGTGCATCAGGCCTCATCGTGTCATCTAGAGCAGACAAATAGTGCCTCAATGTGACGATTAGAAAAAATAATAATTACAGATTTCACCTGAACTGTGCCAACCAACAGTTTGTGCATGGGGGAGGGGATCCCCAGCTTAAGAGGGGAAAGAAGAACCTAAACTGCCCTGTTAGTCCCATTACCAGGACAGCTCAAATAAATAAAAACAATGTGTGGCCTGTGAGAGGAAACACGCAGCTCAAAGTGCACGAGAATAATTAGGGCTTTAGGAAAACGACAGGGTTCCTCTCAGCTTTAGGCACAGGGGGGGGAGATTTCAGAATAAATTAAAAAAACTGATGCAGTTTATTTATATTAGCATTCTTTTTGCTGAACCACTTTCCAATAAGGCTCCCATTATAGATGGCTAATAAATAGTTCATAGACATGTTATTAATTCCTCTACAAACACTTTATAAATCAATAATTGTTTATTATGCATTAATTAAGGGTGACAGAGACAAAAGTGACTGGTTTCTTGCCAAATAGTGGGACAAATCTGCCACCTATATATTTCATCTAGAGTTGTTAAG